TACCTTTTTGCCCATCGTCATCTTCGCATACGAATCCTATGCTGACAGCTCCTGTCTGAGTATCACTGAATCGAAGAAGGAAGGTAGGATGACTAGACAACATCATCGATTGCGATGCATCCTGTTTTGATATAAAGCCTACCAGCCAGCCTAAAATAAGAAGCGGAAATAACTGAAGTAAGTGTGGTGACTCCACGAAAAGCATATTAGAACTTACCTTCATCCCAAAATTTGAGCAACTTCTGTTTGATGAGCTGCATGATGGAAAAGAACCATTCCCAAAACGAAAAGGCCACATCATCGCGGAGGTTTTGCTAAAGAAAAACCCGGTCGTAATCTCAAAATGTGTCACTCCACGTTTTTCTCAAAATTCTGACAAAGATTAAAGAAAAAATCGAGAGTTTTCGAGGAAAAACGAAGGAATCTCGCGTATACGGATTCAAAAGAACAAACTGTGCATATACGTGTCATGCAGCAAACCGTATCAGGACAACACTACTTGTGAGCTTTGCATGAGATAAGAGAAACAAGCAGACCTTGGCGAATCGGTGGAAGGTAATCGGTTTCTGATCTGGCACATTGGGTACGAGCAATTTTTCAGAGAGGTAATTTAGATCGGAGTCGGACAACGGACGTCGAGCACCAGTAAACAACCTAAAATCTTTATCTTCTCTACTGTTCGTAGATTTTAGCGAAAAGAACTTACGTGAATTTATGTCTCAGAACATGTGCTAAGTCTTTCCAAGCTACTGCTGCTATGTCAGTTGCTCCTGGTGAGCGTGACTAAAAGAAGAAGATAATAGTGAATCCAGTGGACCTTTCAGAAAGTGTGCAATCTCACCACTGATGCAAATGCTCGGTGCCAGACTATAGCGCCTTGTGCGTCACAATCCTGTGAACCATGAACAGTCACCATCAAAGGAAGTGAAAGGGTCCAAACATCGAACTATAAACAGCAACTATTCTAGCAAAAAGATGCTGGCGGATCAAAAGTTGCTCCGCACCTTCCCGAGATTCCCTAACTGGAATGGGCTTATATGAAACAGCAACGCATATTTCTGATCTGTGGCTGCTTGTGCACTCAAGGAGCATTTCATATCTCCTCCTGCTCCTTTTGGCGGCGGCTTGCGATGAGCGATTCGGGTCAGTTTCTGAAC